CAAAACTCAACAAACGCTCGAGAAATCGAACGCAAGATGGAGGAACGTGGGTCAAAGAAGGAGAAAAGAGGGAAATCCTAAATCGCCAAAGCGGCTAGGGCGAACCAACTTTTTTTCAAGGGGTGATAGAAGATATAAGGCGATTTCTTACCATCTTATGAAAAAATATGATCCTCTATTTTATATGAATTTTTTAGAGATAGATTATATATATATAATTTTCATAATGAAACATGACTTCAAATCTTCAATTAAGATTTATTTTAATTATGAGAGTCAACTTTTCTCACATGAGAAAACTCGTATGATTATATGGGTGTCTATATTTGACCCAGCTTGAAACCATATCCGAATTCGACCCGAATTTCAAGTTCATGCCTACCCATTTGCCAGACAGATCAATTTCAGGCAGGGGCGAAACCAGCCAAAATTTTTGCGGGGGTGGGGGATGCAAATTTATAAGTAACTATTGGTAGATATATATGTCGGAGGTCCAATGGGGCAGTGCCCCTTGGCGAGGTTCAACTGACCCGTCAAGTCGTGGGGTCAAGGGGCAGCACCCCCGGAACAAATTTTGATTTACAATTTCTCTATTTATTTGGTTCATGGTTCCCTAACAATAACACCTATAAATAATGTAACTAGAGGCAATTGCCAAAAGATCATAGTATTTTAAAATTTTTAGGGGGGTGAAATTGCCTAAAACCCTTGTAATAAAGGCTAAAAAATAAATTAATGAGACAAGTTACCTAAAGAATCATATAATATAAAAATTTTATTTTTTTAGGAGAGGCAATTGCCCCCTCTTGGCTCAAGGGGGTTCCGCCCCTGATTTCATGTTTCGTTTTTTGACCTGTTTATAAAATAGGGTAGTGCTCAGGTTGACCTGAAATCAACTTGGGTTGACCTAGATACCATTGTACCTTTCGTTTTTCGTTTTTCGACCTATTTCATTTTTTGTACTAGAAAGTTGTTTTAAGAAGCAAAAAGAAAGTCGTAGTTCTTCATAAATCTTTGCATGTATGGTATTGTCTTAAAGAAAAGTGAATATTACATTGATATTTATTGAAAAAATAGATCTTATAAGGAATTTCTT